TTGCCTCCCTGATGAATCCCACTTGGCTGTGATGTATAATCCTTGAATATGCACTGACTTTCATTTGGTACGTTTTTGTTGAGGGTTTTTGTATCTGTACTTGTCAGGGATCTTGGTCTGTAGTTTTCTCCCCTTATAGTGCCTTTTTCTGGCTTTGGTATCGGGATAATATTAGCCTCATAGAAAGAGTTAGGATGTATTCTTTCCTCTTCATTTTTTGCAAAAGTTTGAGGATTTGGCATTAATTTTTCTTTAAATATTTGGCAGAATTCACAAGAAGGCATCTGGTTCTGGGCATTCCTTTGTCAGGAGGTTTTTAATGACTGAGTCCATCTCTTTGTTGCAGTCTGTTTTCATTTTCTATCTCTTCTGTGTCAGTTTCACTGTTTTGTGTATTTCTAAGAATGTCTTTTTTACCTAGTTTATCCAGTTTGTGGTACCTTTGTTCATGGTGTTCTCTTATAACCTTTTTATTCCTGTAAAGTCCATAACAATGTCTGCTCTTTCATTTCTGATTTTACTTACTTGAGTCTTCTTCCTTTTCTCCTCTGTCAATCTAAGTTTCATCAATTTTGTTGATCTTTTCAAAGAACCATCTTTCGGTTTTATTGCTTCTCTCTATTGTTTTTCTCTATTTATTTATCTATGTGCTAATCTTTATCATTTCCTTCCATCTGCTAGCTTTTGGTTTAGTTTACTCTTATTTTTCTAATGTAATAAAGTTAAACATTAGGCTGTCGATTTTAGATCTTTTTTAGTATAGACATTTACTGCTATACATTTCCCTCTAAACACCGCTTTTGCTGTATCCCATAAGTTTTGATATTTTGTTTTTTATTCTCATTCATCTCATCCCAAAGTGTTTTCTAATTTTCTTTGTGATTTCTTCTTTGACCCATTGGTTATTTAAGAGTAGATTGTTTATCTTCTGCATATCTTTGAACTTCCCAGTTTTCCTTCTGTTACTGATTTCTAGTTTAATTCAGTTGTGGTTGGAAAAGATACTTTGTATGATTTTAGTCTTTTTAAAGAAGAATATATATTCTGTAGTTGTTGAGTACTTCCTATTATTCCTAGAATAGAATTCAAGCTCCTCACTATCATTTCAATTCCTACAAGTACTGGTCTTGACTAGCTTCTCTGGCACTGTCTCCCTCCACTCTTCTCTTGGTTTGCTCAGGAATTTTTTTTTTCCTGACTTATTAATTAACGTAATGCTCTAGTGTAATAACATTAAGTATGTGAGAGACTGATTAACATAACGCCTTAGTGAAGGAACACTAACCTTTTGATAGCATGTGGAGCCATTGTGTGTATCTCTGTGAAAAGTTTAAAAGTGTATGGAGAAAGATTGAACATGAATGTTCATAGCAACATTATTCACAATAGCCAAAAGGGGGAGACAGCTCAGATATCCACCATTTGATGAACAAGTAAACAACACATGGTCCATCCATACAATGGAATGTTATTCAGTCATAAAAAGGAATGAAGTTCTGTTGCATGCTGACATAGATGACCTCAAAAACTTTCTGCTAAGTGGAAGAAGACAGACACAGAAGGTCATGTAATATTTTATGTTTCCTTTTATAGGAAATATCCAGAATAGGCAAATACAGACACAGAAAGCAAATTAGTGCTTGCCAGGATGTGGTGGTGGGGAAGTAGGGGGTGAGGCATGACTGCTTCATAGGTTGGGGGTTTCCCCTCTAGTGGTGATGCTTACATAACATTGTGGAAGTACTCAGTGTCGCTAAAGGTAAACTTTATGTTATATATATTTCACCACAATGAAAAACTCAATCCAGTTTAAAATCTTTTTTTTCTCCTGTGCAAAAGAAAGCTCTCATTTTCAAATAATATTTTTTATCAGTATTGAAAAACAAACCACATTGTTCAAAGACCAAAGTTTAAAATGAAAAATAAGTAAAATGATTAAGACTCACTCTTTTACATGACATTACATCCAGTGTCAGAGAGCTTGGTATAAAATGGACTTTAAAAAATCCAACTATTTTGTTTATTGGCAGACTGTTCTGTGGTACATCTGGAATTCATATGTTGAGTGTTACCGTAGATATTTTTGTTTAACCAGTATGGATGAACAAGATAACGCTTACACTCCAAGCCTGTATCTTTGCCTCAGTTAAGATTGCAAAATACTCTTTGTTAATGTATATTTTTAATTAAAGAACATAGCTAGAGATCAATCCATCATGTTTTGGTCTTGTTACACAGTTACTCAACATGAGTTTTCTTGGTGGTGGTGATGAAAGAGCACAGAAAATAATGAATTGATTTTTTTACTTGAAAAAAATATGAAAGGCAAAGATAAAATATGTTCCTGATAATTATTAGAGAATGTCTGTTTATCTTCCAGAACTAATTGTCACTTGAATTACTCATGACAAAACACAGCCATCAATAAGTGAAAATGTTCGCATCTCCGATTATGTTGGAGCTTCCATGTCACATAGCATGCAACCTGATGTTTTATTTTCTTCTGTGAACTCTGTGATGAAAACACAAGGCGTTAGTGAAATCTTAAACATGGAAGCCCAGCAGAAAGCAGAATTTGTTCATATATGACAGTTCATATCCTTCCCTACTTGTTTAATACTCATCTAGTTATACTATATAGACCTTAACAAGAACGTTTAAAAAATAAATTTAAAGAGTCATATGTTCTTTTTCACTGCAATAAAATGCAATAGCCTCTTTAATCTTGGGGGTAAGAGAGGTTGGACTTGTGAAGATGTGTTTGTGTTTTAAATTAGGCCAAGTCTTATTGTATATGTTAGCTAATTAAGTTGAATTTACTGACCTGTGCAAAATTTGAATAATAGTCCTTCACACTCTTGTTGTTTTTTTTTTTTCTCTAAACAATACTGTTGGAATGTTGAGAGGAATGTAGCATAATTTTTTTTTAAGAGCATATATTTTAGAGTCAGACAGATTAGGCCTAAATCTTGATTCAACTGCTTGATGGTTGTTTAAGTGAAAACCCATTTCTAGATTTGTAGACATCTTCATCTGTAAGACCCTTGCTGTGGAGGATTGTCATGACATTTTGAAGGTGGGCGACATGGGGCCAGTATTTGGTGTGTGGTCTCTGTGATAATGTTGATGGTAATTTGGATGACTTTCTACCAAAAATATTCAAGGACTCCTGTTTTTAGCAGATCTCTAAATAATCTCGTCATTTTTTTTCCATCCCCCTGTGTGGTTTTACGGAGTGCTCAAATTGTTTAGTCGTATCTGGCTCTTTGGGCTTCCCAGGTGGTGCTAGTGGTAAGAAACCTGCCTGCCAGTGCAGGAGACATTAGAGATGAGGGTTCAATCCCTGGTTCGGGAAGATCCCCTGGAGGAGGTCATGGGAGGTCATGGGTCGTGGGTTGATGGCAACCCACTCCAGTATTCTTGCCTGGAGAATCCCATGGACAGAGGAGCCTGGCCACCTTTTCTGGCTTCTTTGGTTAATTCACAGTGGACATGAGTTTGAGCAAACTCCAGGAGACGGTGAAGGACAGGGAGGTCTGGTGCACTGCAGTCTGTGGAGTCACAGTCGGACATGACTTAGTGGCTGAACAACAAGTGGGCAGGTAGTCCACCAGAGAGAATCTGAAGGCCAGGGTCTAGTTCTCAAGCTGTCTCATTTTGATGACAGATTTGTCAAAGCCTAGTGTTGACTGGGGCTTGGTTACTTGATGGAAAATTTAAGCTACAGGGCCCAGTCTCACTCTAAAGTAAATCATTTTCTCACAAACATGAATCAGCCTCACGATTTGGTTGCAATAAGCAATACCCAAGTTTCCCAAGTTACTTATTCATTGTAGCCCACACTTTTACCTGCATTAGGCATAAATTCCTATTCGTGTGTTTATTTGTCACTGTTTACACAGCTGTGTTTGTTTATGTTCATACATTCTCTGGTGAATTTGCCTGCTTATAGAGGCTGTTTCGAATTTAGGTTTCATCTCTATCAGGTCTGGGCTGTGTATGATCTTTTTAACTTGCTGTGTGGTGAACATCTAATGTGTGCTGTTTGATTATGACATTATGTCTGCATAACTAGAAGCAATATTTTTATGAGTGTTGAACATGTTTACCAACAAATATCCTTTGTGGTTGGATTATGATTCTTATTCATCCAGGTCCAAACCATATGGTGTCTGTACCTTTCCCGGTGACAATGAGAAACATGTTTCAGGGTGGCCCAGAGTCATGGAGCCCAGATACACCAAGACTCAACATCCCCAAATGATCGTTCTTGTTTTTGTTCGGGCTATCATGTTTTTATGGTTCAGTAACTCAACCCTGATGTTTGTTTCTCTGTGGCTCTGGCCTCGGGGGCGTGGCCAGAGGAAACCCGGCCACAGTGGAAACCTGACTTTAGGAATTAGGATGGGGTGGTCCTGTGTGGCCAGGGACAGGGGGAAAGTCCCAGGTGTTCCAAGTGGGCTTTAGTGCCTCGCAGCTCAGATACTGGTAGCAGCCAGGTGTCTCTAGAGCTGCCAAGTCCATCACGGTCAGCTGTAGCCACGCGGGTGAACAGGCCCTCAAACAAGCTCCATCCAGACAGAGATGTATTGTCAGTGTGAGGTCATGGTGGTGTTAGCTTTTTTCCCTCCAAAACGTAGGTTTTGTTCAGTACTGTAACAGCGACAGTGTTAAAGTAATAATAATAATGTTCACTGTCTCAGAATGTGGGGGCCCACGGCAAGGTTGTGGTCTGGTGGGCCTGAGGACATGTGTGTCAGGGTGGCACATGGTTGCTGCCGTGGAAAGAGAGGAGAGCTGCAGGTGGAAGTGCAATATTCCAGCCATGTCCCGGGTGGAGGGAGTGTGTGAGCCGCCTCGCACACCTTCCCTCCTCACCGCGGCTTCTGCGCTCTCACTGATGTTGCACGAAGGCCCCTGCAGGGGACCCCGCGTGCAGTGTGTGCGTCTGAGTCTCCTAGGTGGTGGAGACATGAGAATTCTGTCCCCGTGGTTTTCAGGTACCAGCAAGGTCAACCTGGTGAGGATCCCATCCACGGCCTCCAGCCCGCGGGACACAGCCCTGGCGGCCGTCATCTGCAGTGCCCTGGCCACCGTGCTGCTGGCCCTGCTCGTCCTCTGCGTCATCTACTGTAAGCGGCAGTTCGTGGAGAAGAAGCCGAGCTGTAAGTCCTAAGCGCTTGCTGTGTCTTGGCATCCTGCCGAAGGGTGTTGATCATCATCATTGTCCTCCAAGTGTCCAACGAGGACCTGAGAGGAGCATCTGGCTGCGGCCACGGGGACAGAGAACAAGTGCAAGTAGGCCTCCCAGGGGAGGCGCTGAGGGTGTGGCCGAGGGGCGGCATCACTTCCCCGGGGCCTGAGGAGGCAGGGCTGCCCCCACCCTCCACAGAAACACAGTTCGTTCCAAGTTCTGGCAACACAAGGGCCCCCCATCTCGAGCTTTCTTGGCCGATTGTTTCGTTTCTCTGCCTTTTTGTAAGAAAAAGTATTTTTAAATGGGAACCACAGCTGTCCTTTCCTCCCAAACTGCAGAAGCTGGGGTGGTTCTGGTCGCGCTGTGATGTTCCCGGGCTTCCCCTGGGGAGCCTGTCTCGCTGACCGAGTTCTCGGCCTCTGCAGGGTCCCTGAGGGCACAGGACCTGCAGTTCAACGGCTCCGAGCTTTCCTGTTTCGACAGACCCCGGCTCAGCTCCCCTGCGCCCCGTGCCTGCTGCCAATGCCTGCGGGACTCGGCCCAGACCTGCGGTAAGTTCAGAGCTTGGGGTCCACTAGGAACGCAGGCCCCGAGGCCACAAAGAGCACTCCTGCTCCGTTTTCCAGCTAAAGCTGATCGAGTTTAGTCATTCTCCCTTGTCCCCAGAGGTTTGGGGTGTTGGGCATCTTTAAGTATTAGTATCAAACAGAAAATAAGCATCTCATTAAAATTCTAGGATTTCCCAGTAACTTTTAAAAAATGAGTTTGCCTTCATTTTGGTGTCAGAGAGTAGGTTTGTCTGTCTCCTTTCTTGTCTGGTGGGTTCAAAGTGAACCTGCACATGACTGTCTTGGTGTCTTTCTGGATTTCTTTTTCTTTTAACTGATTTATTTATTTATTTTTGGCTGTGCTGGGTCTTGGTTGCTGCGTGGGCTTTTCCCTGGTTGTGGTGAGCGAAAGTTACTCTCTCTTTGTGGTGTGCGGGCTTCTCATTGCAGTGGCTTCCTCTTGTGAAGCAACAACTCTAGGGCTCATGGGCTTCAGAAGTTGGGGCCCCCAAGCTCTAGGGCACAAGCTCAGTAGCTGGGGAACATGGGCTTGGTTGCTCCGTGGCATGTGGGATCTTCCCAGACCAGGGATCAAACCCATCTCTCCTGCATTGACAGGCGATTCTTTCCCACTGAGCCACCAGGGAAGCCCCGGATTTCTTACAGAAGAGGGAGGAGGGAGACCTGTGACAGGGTTTTCCACAAACCAGTGTTGCCTCTGGGATTATTGACAGAGATTGAAGTTCAGGGAAGTCCAGGCAGACCCTGGAGACACTGGGGTTCAGTTCCAGACCATTGCAGTAAAGAGAACATTGTACTAAAGTGAGTCACGGGACATTCTGGGTTCCCCAGTGCATATAACATTATCTTCATGCTATGCTGTAATATATTAAGTGTGCAATAGCATCATGTCCTAAAAAACAACATATACACCTTAGTTTAAAAATAATTTATTGCTGAAAAATGCTAACCATCATCTGAGCCTTCAGTGAGTCATACTAAAATAGTCACATCAAGGTCCCCTGAGCACAGACCATCATAACAAATATAATAATAATGAAAAAGATTGAAATACTGAGAGAATTACCAAAATTCTCACAGAGTGAGCAGATGCTGTAGGAAAAATAGTGCCCCTAAATTGCAAGACATAGGGCTTCCACAGACCTGCACTTCGGGAAAAGCAATAATTGTCAGGCACGATACAGCCAGGTCTGCCTGTAATTCAGGTGGACTAAGGTTTCTAACATGGGCAAAAGTCAGTAAAGTAACACCAGCTTACGCTTAACTTCCTGCCCCATCCCCACGACCTCACCTCCTCTGCAGGGCATAATCAAGGTGGCTGCAGCCCTTCCAGAAGCCTGCCCTCTGCCCGCTCCATCCTCACCTGTGTCCCCTGCACCTGTGGACACAGCACCTAGCAGTGTGTCGTCTCCTATAACCGTCCGTGAGGTTCAGTGTTTCCCAATTCGATGGCTGGTCTTCTCGTAACTGTCCGATCTTTCATTTCAAGACATCAAAGGGTTCAGCTTTTCAATCTAATATTTGATATGGGAAATGAGGCATTTTTAGCACAATTCTTTCTCCCCTGACCGTTACTATCTCAAGACATCAAAGGGTTCAGCTTTTCAATCTAATATTTGATATGGGAAATAAGGCATTTTCAGCACAATTCTTTCTCCGCTGACCGTTACTATCTGCATTTATTAGTTGCCTTCCTAGGTAAGCAAGAACTTCCCTTCTTCCCCACTTATTCTTTCCTTTAATTACCATGGATGCAATGTCCCTGATAAAGGGATGACGGTCCTTGGCGATCATTATTTATTTTGAGGCTCAGATTTTCCCAGGTTTGGCCAGAGGAAGTCCCTTCACCCTGCTCAGGTGTCATTTGGACATAGTTTCATTATCCTTTTAGCTTCTCTGTTATTTTCTGGCTCAGAAAGAAGTTCCAGGCCCATCTTGTATTTCCCAGCTGGAACCCTAGAACCAGCCATTTCTACAGGGAATGGTGGTGCCTTTCTTTGAATAAATTTGAAATGTCTCACAGTGAGGGTGACTTGCTGAAATGACTGGCGGTGGATCCAGGCGCGTCACCACAATCATGGCCACGTGAGACGAGGGCTGCTTCCAGACAGAGTCGGCTGCAGGCCGGGCGGCTATCCCTCTTAACACGGCTCGCTGCTGCATCTCAGTGGTTAACTTTCATTTTTAAAAGGGAAATGGTTTCATCATCTTTTTTTTCTCTTGATAAAAGTAAAGAAAGAATTCATCATGGAAACTTTGGATGTGTGTGTGTTTCTGTATTAATATATAACTTCCTCAAACCTTTTCTCTGTATATTAATATGTGCGTGTCTTTTGTGTTTGTTGGTATGCTTTACTCTGTTTATGGTTTATAAAATCAGATTTACGTGTGTCTGTATACATAGAGAGAGGAGTCTAGAAGGCTATTCAGAAATGTGGACAGTGTTTTGCAGTGTATGGAATTGGGAAAGATTTATTTTTCAATTTCTGATCTAATCTCTCTATTTTTAAAGTTTGTCTTCAATGAATGTGTATTGTCTTCGTAACCAAAAATAATATACATAGTGCTTCAGTGAACAGAGTAGTTAGTAAAGCTGTATGCACATAGATAGTTATTTCTTAAGCTACGTTCCTAGCAGTAAAGAACAAAGTGTGTGTTGAGTTAAAGGCTGTGGACATTCGTGTTCTGCCCAGCAATGCCCTGCCTGCTTGCAGAAACACTGTCCTTCATGTATGAAAGACTCATTTCATGTCCCCTGTCTTCATGCCTTTTCAGCATTATTTTCATTGCAGTGAAATTGACATCAAATTAAGTTTACCGTTTTAACCATTTCCTGGTGAGCAGTTCGGGGACATTAAGCACGTTCACCACCACCATCCCCAAAACGCTGTCCTGACCCCAAACAGGAAACCCCCATCTTCCCACCTCCGGCCCCTGGGGACCACCCTCCTGTTGCCCGTCTCCAGGTCCTGCATAGAAGTGGTTCATCATTTTTTAAGATAAAAGAGAAAAAATTAAACCTCATGGCCCATCCCCCTCAGAAATCACCCAAAGGGGAACAGCTAAACATTCAAGTTCAGTGTTGGAGCAATGTAACAAGCCCTCCGACTTTCCTAGGGCCCGTCCACCTCGTCCCGTCCCGGTGCTGTGGTGGGACCTGTGGCATCGGCCGGGACGCTACTGGTTGTCGGGGGCACTGCAAGGCCACCCTTCAGAACAGGTAAGTGGATTGGTGTTTCTAAAATATTTCTTTATTTAATTGTTTGGCAGCTCTGGGTCTTAGTTTCAGCACATGGGATCTAGTTCCCTGGTCAGGGATCAAACCCAGGCCCCTGGCACTGGGAGCTCGGAGCCCTAGCCACTAGACCACCAGGGAAGTCCCAAAGTGGTGTTTTTAATCAATATAATTTCATATTCCCTTGTGCAAATATACATCCTACTTATTTACATTTCATGCGAAACTGTGGGGACATCACTTTCTTAGTAGTATTAATGACATTCTGGACATTTAAGAGGGTGGGAACTTTGGAAAGAATTAGGTAAGTCTCTCAGGGTTACTGAGAGCCAATGCAACATTCTTTATACTGTATATCCTGCTAATTTTGTTTTTGTCTTATATTCATGATTTGTAACACTTCTGTCATCTCTAAGTAATTTTTAGTATGCCACATACCCAGAAAATTTTAGAATAGTAGTCAAACTCAGTGAAGACCTAGGACACTCCATATTTTAGACGTTGGATTAAGTATAAATATAAGGAAATGGCAACCCCCTCCAGTATTCTTGCCTGGAGAATTCCATGGACAGCAGATCCTGGTAGGCTGCACTCCTCAGAATCACAAAGAATTGGACACAACTAAGCAATCAACACATGTTGATTAGAAGAAGTGGGTATAGAAATTCAATTTTATAGTAAATGGAATAATTTAACTTACTGTACTGAAGCAAGTTTATAAAAAAGGAGGCACGAGAATTCTGACTTAATAAAATGTTGTTTATATCATGTTGTTGTTCAGTCGCTAAGTCGTGTCTGACTCTTTGCAGCCCCATGGACTGCAGCACGCCAGGTTTCACTGTCCTTCACCATCTTCCAGAGTTTACTCAAACTCATGTCCATTGAGTTGGTGATGCCATCCAACCATATCATCCTCTGTTGTCCCCTTCTCCTCTTGCCCCCAGTTTTTCCCAGCATCAGGGTCTTTTCCAATGAGTATATTTCATCTAGAAAACTCGAAAGCATAGCTGGAGTTTATAGGAGGTTTTTCTCCTGATAGAGTTACTTATACGCTTTCGAACACGTGTCCAGAAACACAGGTCCAGCGGGAGAGGCGATTCCCACTTTCTTCGGGTCCCTGTCAAGGTCCGTCTGCGGCGAGTTCTCAGACGCCTGGCCTCTGATGCAGAATCCCGGAGGAGGTGATGACGTCTCCTCCTGTGACTCCTGCCCTGAGCTCCCTGGAGAAGACACTCACTCTCTCGACCCAGAGAGCACAAGCTTGGCTTCCCTGGACTCAGACAGCAGTCAGGGTCTGGTCGGTGGAGCGGGGCCAGTTCTAGCTCATCCGGAGACCTTTACAGACACTGCTGATTTGTCGAGACTCAGCGATGCACTGCTGGAGCCTGTGCGGGCTCAGGCCGTGCTCACTGCTGGAAATCAGCTGGATCAGGAGCGAGGAGATGCCCCACACCTGACCACACAGCCACACGGCCAGGTGAGGCCCCCCCCCCAGGGGTGGATCTCAGGATGGGCGCAGTACTGACTCAGGGACACCCAGAGGGAACCAAGCTCTGATGCCAGAAAATGTGGGGGACCCTGGGGAGAAGGTCTTTCCATCTTTCATACCTTCTTGTGTGTTATAGGAGAGTATGTTTACATTAAATTTCAGGAGTTTTTTTTTTTTTGTACTAACAACCCCACCCCTTTGAAAATAATTTATGTCTATTTTATTTTCAATGAAACTTTAAATTCCTACCGAGACACTCATTTATATTTTAACCTCTATTTACTCTTTTTTCCCCAGCTTTATGCAGATAGGATTGACATATAATATTGTATAAGTTAAAGGTGTGCAGTGTGCTAATTTGATTTATTGCCAAGTACATCCTGGCACATCCCAGTTAGCTGCTCATGTGGTAAAGAATCCACCAACCAGTGCAGGAAACGTGGGTTTGATCCCTGAGTTAGGAAGATCCCTGGGAGAGGAAATGGCAACCCATTCCAGAATTCTTGCCTGGAGAATCCCATGGACAGAGGACCCTAGACAACTACAGCCCACAGAGTCACAAAGAGTTGGACACAACTAAACATGCAAGAAATTAAAAAAAAAATTATCAGATTTCTAACTTGTGATTCATTTGTTCCCCAAAATGTATTTTTACACAGTAGTCTTCTTTAATCCACCCAGAGTCTGACAGTGATAGTTACAGTGGTGGTGGTTTAGTTGCTCAGTCGTGTCTGACTCTTGCAACCCCGTGGACTGTGGTCCACCAGGCTCCTCTATCCATGGGATTCTCCAGGCAGGAATACTGGAGTGGGTTGCTATCTCCTTCTCCGTGTAGTTATCAAGCAAATAGGAGTGAGCGGCTTCCTTAGTCTTGTGACTCAAATTTAGTCAAATTTTCCCTCAACACACCTCTCCAGAAGGGAAGAGGACTAAGATATTGAGACATCACTTGCAAAGACGTTTGGGGAATGAAATAGCTTGTTTGATTATAGGAAAAGCTTTTGTGGGTGGTGTTTTTTAACAAACATTTTAAATGTCAGCATGAAATATGGGAGGAATGGTAGAAAAGATATGAGATCACCTGGGTTCTAGTTTCTCAATATATTAAAATCTCTCTTTTTTTCCTCTCTCTATTGACCAATTAAGTATAATTTGCCTTCCACAGTAGCATTAACATGGTTGGTATAATCATATCAGTTGACCAACATATTTGACAAAACTATCTTATTATTGAGAGAACCTCAGCTATTTCTATTTCGAGATAATCTGCTTAGACTTATGAAAAAAATTTTGCTGTGGATGTATCTGATATGTCATCAACGCCAAATTAGTAGTAAGTTGATGAAAAGTGACTGCATAAATGAGGGTTTCACGTACATATGATAATATGCAGTGGCCAGACCTCAGCCCCTCCCAAAGTGAGGTCACTGCCCTTTTTTTGACAAGGGTCACACCTAAAGGCTGCTCCCTGCCAATGATGTTTGCCCTGTGACATGTGTGAGTGTTCCAGGGAGGTCATTTATGAGAGAAGTCTCCTTCCCAAACTCTTTCTAAGCTTTCTCCAATAGCATCACAGAAGTTTTAAATTCAAAGACCAAGAATGGCACTAATCGTTAACCATCTTTGTTCTTTTAAAGAATAGACTAAAGAATCCTAAAATCTTTGCCTATAGTTGCTTTAAAGAAGTGCAACACAGAACCGGGCTTGAAATGTTTGACAGGTTGAAAATCAGCAGAAGAACTGTCCATTGATATGGACAATTGTCCGTTGTCCATAGTTCGTTGGGGTTCATTTTCATCTTTTAAGGACTGTTTGCCCAGATGGAGTGAGTGGGTTGTTAGGAAGTCTTTATTTTTATTCCCAGAGTACATGGGTGCCTGATATGAGGACACCGTAACAGGAGCTTCCTGTCCATATATCATTAAATTCACATGCACCATTAGGAAAAGTGAAGCACTGTCCATCTTCACAGTCACAGTGTAGCGGTTTCAGTTCGTAAGGTGCTGTGTTCAGAGCTCTCCTTGTGTCACCATTTCAGGGGGACGAAAGGACTTGCTTCTTTCTTCAATGAAGTGTCCATCAGAGCCTGCTTGTGGACCTCGCGTGGCTTCTGGGGGAAAAAGTGAATCTGAACTGAACTGATGTCATTTTAAGCTTCTGAGCCAGGCCCGCCGCGAGCCGAAACCTCAAGGAATGGAGCCTCCTAGCTCTGCATCTTTTCCACCCAAGGAGCGTCTGAGCGGGAGGCCGCCTTCGGAGACACAGTGGGCCGGGTTTGCAGCCTCCGAGCTTAGGGGTATAACGAGAAGCAGAAACGCAATCGTGCTTCTCTTCGTGGTGGATGTGGTGGTTTTGCTGAGACTGAAGGCCCAGAGTATAACTTTTCATTCACACTTTCTGGAAATAATTTCACATCTCCTACTAAAAATCAATGTCAGATCGGTTACCCAGTTTTTACGTAGGATAGGTTTACAGGTGAGTGTTTCTGTGTACTGGAGGTCACCTTTTCATCATCTGAATAATCAGCGTGGAAGGTTAGAATTGACCTCACACAGTCTGCCTGAGTCTTGGCTTATCAGATGGTGGCCTGGGAATCAGAAGAGATCAAATCTTACAGAATCGACACTTCTCCATCAGCCACTGTCTCATCAACCCCAGCTGAGTTAGTGACCAGAGGGGCCTGAGTTAGTGAATGTGGTTGGGAAAGGGCTACCCAACCCCTCCCCCGAGTTAAAAGCTCCTTAATCCTTATCCTAGATTAGCAGATTTCCTCGAAAATCCACTGATATGGAAGCATTTGTTACTTCTGTCCCTGGGACCCAGCTCAAAAGATCCAGATTTTCTCTTCTATAGAAAAACGGTATTTATAATAATCTTTTGTTTGCATCGTGTTTTATAATAAAGGCTTTAGAAATGCCAGCACATGGTGTGTCCACGCCACTGAAACACGATGCCAGGTGAGTAGTCTTAGGAGACAACTCTGCGTATTAGGACCGGGAGAACAAGCACAGTGGGTGGTTGTAACCGCCGTTGTGTCGTCTGATCAGCATGTTACAGGGCTCCCTCCAATCTCTAAGCTTGGTCAACACAGCAGTTTCCACCGCAGCGCAGTGATGCTGGATTGAAGAGTCCAGTGCTTCTATGAAGGCGATCCACCCCTGCCACCTTGGTGTTTACATACTAGAATTTGCTCTACAGCTAAGGCCGAAACAAACCCAGCTCAGTCGTGAACCAGGGGACAGCTCCTTAGCTCTTCATCTCTGTACCCCGGAGAGGATTTATTTGAGCAGGATTTCTTTCTTTTCCTACCATGTTCATAATCAGTCCTGGCTGTTGCCTTTTAAGTTATGACTATTAGCTTTGTTCCATTTGCACTTTAAAAAGACATAAACCTTCAAACAGCCGTGCGTTAGAGAATGCTCACATATTTTGTTTCCGAGTTGCTCCTCCAAACTCAGCGTCTTCTTCTGACTTTCCATTGGAAGGTCATTGGAGGCAGTTGCCGGTGGTCCAGTGGTTAGGATTCAGCACTTTCACCGCCATGGCTCTGGGTTCAATACCTGGTCAGGGAACTAACATCCCACAAGCCACATGATACAGCCAGGACACGATGCCTTTCCCAGGACATTGTTACTTCCCTCTCATTACCCTGTGGTTTTCTCTCTTGCATTCATGAGCTCTCACAAGACACCCCCATCATGTTCCTCCATCCACAGCTCAGGCCCCCTGCAAAGACACAAACTCACCTGGGTGTGGTGTGTTGTGTGTGTGACCTCCGTTCCTTGGACTCAAATAGGAAATTAGAGCATCTCACGGTAACGCATAGCCTTTCCCGTCTAGCTGGTACCCAGCCAGAGTTAACTGACTTTCTTTTTTCTCTTCCTTTTTTTTAGTCTAAACCAATGATTCTTAAGCTCTGGCATGCACCAGCTCTTCTGAGATGTGCCTTTTGGAAGCTCATGCAAAGTACTTAGGATCTGAGCACTAGAGGGCCAGGAAAATGCAGATTTCATCTTAAGTCACATGTGCTGTAGTCTGCAATCCAATCACTTTTGTTACAACAGGGTAGGCCAGGGCAGTGTTCCTTTTTATAATCAGAGTATATCTTCCATGTGTAGAGCCCTCATTAACATCAAAGGCAAACACTTGCAGGAGAAAGCTAAGATTGATGGAAAAGAGGCTCTGGCTCCAAATCCTGAAACATCGCTTTTGATCAATAGAGATGATGTTGTTTAGTTGCTAAGTCGTGTCCGACTCCTTGCGACCCCGTGGACTGTTGTCCACCAGGCTTCTCTATTCATGCGGATTCTCCAGGCAAGAATACTGGAGTGGGTTGCTATTTCCTGCTCCAGGGGATCTTCCCAGCCCAGGGATCGAACCTGCGTCTTCTGCATTGGCAGGCAGATTCTTTACCACTGAGCCACCAGGGAAGCCCCAGTAGAGAAGATTAGGGTTACAAATGGATTTTATTTGATACAACATTTGAAAAATCTTGGGTCATTTTTATCAAGATGAAGACATTGTACTACCACATACTATGGGAACAGACAATGATGTTATATCCTGTGCTCTTTGTAAACACTGGAAAGGACAATCCAGCCAGCATCTCATATCATTGGAATATTGGCAGCACTCGGATAAACTCAGCTGCCGGCATGCCAGGAAATCAGCATCAGGTGATAACAGGACTGGACGTGCGAATTCTTGCTACTTTCTGTGCCACAGAAACTCACCAACAAGGATGAGATGAGGATTGGACAGCAACCACAGAAAGGCATGGGTTTTCTGATTTTGTGTATATGGAATATATTTTTCCAATATAGATTTTTCTAGTTTAGATAAAGTGTTCATGTTGCTGTTACCTAGGTCAAGCACTGTTGTCTGTGCTAATAAAAAAAAAAATAGAAAAGGAAAAATCCCATCATTTCTTTAAGGCAGTCAGCTTGCATCCATTTAGACCTCATCTTGACTATTTTGCATACTGGAATTTATGAATTTGTAAATGTTGGCTTCCTTACACAACTAGTTTTGTAAGACCTTTTTTTATTTGTGAATAAAATTGTTACCTTGTATTCTTGTCGACACATTGGGTGAGAAAATGATGGATGGTGTGAATGCAGCTGTGTTTCCCCTCCTGCTCCCCATGGAGGGTCTCACTAAGATCGTGTCCTCCCCACGACCCCTCTCTGGACCTCTGACCTCTGAGGATTTAGATTCCTCCCTGGTGACCAGGTTACATCTCTCAGGCATGAGGCGGGTCAAGCTACTAAAAATGTTCTAAGTTATCTGAGAGGTTTTGGTGTGAAGATTTTATCATGATCTCTTTTTTTCGTCCTTCGTTTTGTGACACCGAGTGGGAAGGTCTGAAGAAGAAATTCTCCATTCATCCTCTTTGGAGGCCAGTGGGGCTGAGGGGACGAGGGGCTCCCCCGGGGCAGCAGTGGTCACCTGAGAGCTTCTTTCCTCTTCGCTCCTTCCCTTCTCCTTTCTCAGCCCCCTCTGTCCCCCTCAGTAAAGCTTTGAAAGCTGTTCCTAGATTTTGAGAGGACTTTAGACCTCCTCAACAAAACATGGATTATTCATTTTTTGAATTTAATTTTTATCTTAAAGTTGATTTACAATGTTAGTTCCAGGCATGCAGCAAGGTGATTCAGTTATACGTGTATCTATTCTTTTTCAGGTTCTTTTCCAAAAAGACAGCTTCCCTGATAGCTCAGTTGGTAAAGAATCTGCCTGCAATGCAGGAGACCCTGGTTTGACTCCTGGGTCGGGAAGATCCCCTGGAGAAGGGACAGGCTACCCACTACAGTATTCTGGCCTGGAGCATTCCATGGACTATATAGTCCATGGGGTTGCAAAGAGTCAGACATGACTGAGCAACTTTCAGTTTCCAAAAATAGGTTATTTAAAGTGTCACCATGTTCTCTCAGCTTACTGTTCAGTGTCCCTGTGGACCCCACAAGGGAAGGACACTCAACACCTTCTTTCCTCTTTCCCAGTGTCCATACAGACAGGGGTGGGGGCTGGAGGTGCCTCCAGCTCTCTAAGGAAGGCAGCTCAGATCTAAGCAGAGTCCCGCAGGGGGCCCACAGTACATATGCGTGATGATCACCATGATGAAGGTCGGTTGGCAGCTGCCTACTTGTCATTCTGAACTTGTCTCTTTGCCCCATTTCAACTTGAGCAGCTGTCTGATTTTTTAAAAATATATTTGGCACCCGATAAGGTATGAAAAGTTATCTTGTAACTAAATGGCAGTCTGAGAATTTCCAAAATCTTCTATAATTTTTAAGACATTTCACGATTCAAAAGTGGTCGTTATGCAGAGTCAGCAGAGGAAAGTCAAAGCTTTCTTTCTGTCCTCCAGATTCCGGCAGGCAGCGGCCGGGTCCTTTCACAAACCACAGTCGCCTTTGAAGTGGTGTGATTTATGACTGCTTTCAAATCAACCTCTCTAAGAGCCTCGAATGTTAAAAACTTAACCAGCAAAACACTTTCTCTGGAGCCATGGGTGGTCTTCCGAGCCAGGTTTCAATGATTCATCTGTAAAAATGGAGGATTTCTTTTTATCTTAATTTCTAACGGCATTAACTATTCCTGTTAGAGACAGAAAGAGCTGTGTTCTCTGTATTTTGTTTGGGGTTAAGCATAGCCAGCAGGGCCCTGCAGAGGCATCTCCTCCCTGGGGTGGACTATTTACAGTCAATAGAAGATGTGAGAAAAGGCTGGTGATCCTTTAATTGCAGGTGAAGGGAGGCAGGTGGCCCATGCCTGGCACACGTCCCCTGCAGTGTATCAGGTAAAAGCTGTCTCCCCTGAAACCTAATCAGGAATCTAATTCCTCCCAGAGGCCTGGATCTGAAAAAACGCTGTTTCCTGTGTCAGGCCTGCCTTCCTTCCTTCAGCGTGTATTTATAGAGTCATATAGTGCTGCTGTTTAGTTAAGTCGTGTCAACCCTTTGCAACCCTGTGGACTGTAGCCCGCCAGGATCCTCTGTCTGTGGAGTTCTCCAGGCAAGAATACCTGAGTGGGTTGCCATGCCCTCCTCCAGGGGCTCTTCCCAACCCAGG